AAACTGCCCCAGACAATTGGTTTACTGTCTCACAGTTCTCTAGGCTGGAATTCCAGGGACAGCCTGGCTCAGCTGAGCCTCTGGGGATGAATCTGCTTCTAGGCTTTTCCAGGTGGTTGGCTGGATTTGGTTCCCTATACTTGGAGGACTGGGGCCCCGTGTCCCTCCTGGCTCTTTAGCCCACATCTCTTCTCATGCTTCCCACAGGCCCTCCAGCCAAGCCCGGGCAAGTCCCTCTAATACCTCTCACCTTCCAGCCGTCCCTTCTGCCACATCTCTCTGCCTAAGGCTGGAGGACGTTCTCTCCTCATGATTATTAGTGTGTGTCCAGGGCGCTCCGTATTTTAAAGTACATCTGCGAAGTCCCTTTTGCCGTGGAAAGTCACATGTTCACAGGTTCCAGGGACTGGGGGGACATCTCTGAGGGGCTGCTTTACCTCCCACACCTCCATGTCCTTGCCTGTCTGGGCTACATGCAGAGTACTTCCTTCAGTTAAGTAATTCACTTCTGCTCTGTCTTCAAAAATCATGTTTATATTTAAAAGTTGGGTTTGGCTTTTTTTCAGGTTTTGATGGTAACTGATAATTTAACCTTTTTTACTGAATTTTGGCCATTTTTTAATTTCTGTACACATTTCATGTATTTTATATTCTATATCTTTTAGTTCTAGCATCTGAGGCCTCAAGGGTATCTAAGACTTGACATGCTTTCTGTGCATCTGACTGAACTCCATCAGGACTGTTTTTCTCCCCGTTTCCATTTGCTTCTAATCTCCAGGGGCTGTTACCAACTTGGCACCACTGTAGCCTAATTAGGGTCCTGGCTTCATGGGAGTGTCCAGGTATAGTCCAGCTTTCTTAGAGCTGAGGCTGTGTCCTCGTCCCACTGCTGCTGGTGGCATCTGTCGGTGAGAAGTCTTGCTGTACCTCCTGCATGGGCACCAGCAGCAGTGTTTTTAAAGTCTGTCCTGTGTGTGTCCCTGATCTAGTTCTGATGAGACAGAACACTGTCTGTGAAGCGTCCTGTCCACCATGCCAGGATTCTGAACTGTGTATTCCATTAGATGACGGGTGTTTTCCCACTGACTGAATTGTCCAGACTTTTCAAGTCCCAGCTTTTAGCACACAGTAGGTTCTTAATACCTGTTGGTTGAATAGGTTTGTAAGTTGTATAAATGAGAGTCTAGTTAGTAGCATGAAACCAACAGAGGAATGAGTTTAAATGCAAAATATACTGTTCCAATAGTTGTATTAAATAGATGGTATGGTGTCAATAGTTTGCTGTAGTTTTTGAGAAAATATGAAAATCCTGACATTTTAACTTGCAGCCTTTGAAGAAGATGGTGGAGAGAATTCGTAAGTTCCAGATTCTAAATGACGAGATAATCACCATCTTGGACAAGTACCTGAAGTCAGGCGACGGCGAGAGCACACCCGTGGAGCACGTCCGCTGCTTCCAGCCCCCGATCCACCAGTCCCTGGCCAGCAGCTGAGAGGTGCAGGTCACCTGTGTTTGAAGTCCCAGTACTGACCGTGTTTCATAACTATAGGGCATGCTTTTCTTTTCATAAACAATTAGTGAGATTTTCAGGGGGCTATTTTTCAGTATCTCTGTGCCTGTTAAAGGGGTGCTTTTCAATCTAAAAGCTTAATTTTATAAAATTGACTTATTTTTCTAGATTGAAATGGTATATGCTTTTGGTAATTAGAAAGTCTGAGACTACTGGCTGCTGATTGTTGCCATCATATTCCTACAAAGTAGTTCTCCATTTTTTATGGAGTGTTCCAAGAGCCAGCTATGTCCATTTACCCCTTAACAAAGGGTCAGTAATGTTTAGGGGAAAATTTATGAACTTAAGAAACTTAATACCAGGTAATTGTAATAAAACTGGTCACCAATTAGAATTAACCTTAATGATTATTTAGCTTTTGTTTAGGGGTTTTTCTAAAGGTCCTTTGTATGAATTCTAAGTCATTGTTCCCTTCCCTTTTGTGTCAGTGTTTTAGTAAATAGTGACCTTGATTCCTGTTTCTACTAAATGCCATTGTAACAAATCTAATTTGTGAGGGATGGCTTAAAGGTTACAGAAATAAAACTAATGAAACCTATTTGTGCTCACTCACTGGGACCTGTGTGCCCTTGCTCAGATAGGGGCTGCGTCTGCTTACCCACGTGCACAGAGTGGGCCTAGTGGGTCTGCGTCTCAGGCACCTGCAGCCTTGGAGAACGGACGAGGTCAGTTGAGGGAGTAACTTTCATGTGGCTTTGAAAACAAAACACCGAAGTCTAGCAGCATGACACATACTACCGAACATAAAAGTCGGAGCTGTTTGTTCCACTGTCCTATTTCACCCTGAGTAATGTGAACTGGAGCTATTTCTTTAGAGTCAACCAGAACTGTTGCTTTTGTTCATGGGAACCAACAACCTTGGGACCAGCACTCAGCTATAGCTAAGGGAGTAGCTGCTCTCACCCTATACTGCAAGTACAAAATATGATGAAAAATACTCTCATGACTCAGTGTAACTCAAATTACTGAGTTCTGTAAGACTTAATTACAATCCAAATAATATAGACACTCATGTACCAGACAAGGGCTATAAGATGTTAAATAATTAAGAATTTATTATTAACCTTTGCATTCTCAATGAGGGCAATGTCCCACCCAAGGGGGTGAAAACTGGTTCTCTCTACTACGTACAAAGCATTACACATATACAGTACATAAACAAATATACAGTGTATCTGTGTTATTAAAATTATATGGGGGGAGGCCAGTAGGGAAAAATAATGTCTAAAAAGGCTCCCTAGAGGGCAATAAAATGTTTGGAAAAGGGGAGTTCCTTCATGAAACTTGGACACGGTCAACTCTTCCCTGATAAATGGAGCGCTTGTGGGGTGTTGGTGCCATCACCACCAGACGCTCTCGCACTCCCCACCCCCAGCAAGGACAGTGGGGCGCCAGCGGTAGCTGGTTACACAGCAGAGTCACCAGAGTGGGCACAAGCCCGTGTCCGTCTCCTTTACCCAGGTGGACACTGTCACCTTTTTTTAAGGCCAATTAATTGCTATGATGACAGGTTTTCAAGCTGGATGGAATTCATTATACTATTCCACCTTTTTTGCATATGTTTGAAATTTTCTGTAAACAGTTTTCATTGATGTTTTTAAAAGACTGAAATATATAGTGGTCCAAACGAACTCTCAAGCAAAGTAAAATACTTAATACAAAGAAACCAGATTTTCAAACAAATATCTTAAGTTTGTTCTAAGCATTCAGACTTAGAAAGAACTTTGTTTCAATTTGTCTTTATTATAACAGGAGCTAAATTTAAAAAATTACCCTAATCTTTTGACTTTATTTCCCAGAGTTGTTAGAAGATCTAAATGACAATAAAACTCATTATGAAAATATATTGAAAAGTACAAGAGCTGATGTAAAATGGTAATCTTCCAGGTATCAGGGGATTAAACGGAAGAATAAAACTGGCCAGGCAGCCTGACAGGCACAGGATGTACTGGTTTCACAAAGTGCCATGTAGGAAGGTGTGCAGGAACATGTCACAGCCTGAGAAATATTTCTGAGGGCTGATTTCCTACCCTTTGTTTTGTAAATTAGCTTCCTTCATTTAATAACTTAGGATTCTCTTTAACATTTCAAAATTAAAATAATTTCTCAAACAGAAGTCAATTTTGTTTTTAAGGTAAATCACAGGATAATGTATTGGGGTGATTTTGTTCTTTTCTAAACCAAAAAGCCTTAAAATGGTGAGGGACTGATGGAGTGGGGATGACAGATGTGCATTTCAGACTTTCATCATCAATGAAAAAATAAAGCATTTTCATAGACTTAAAACTGTCATTAGTGCATTTAGATTTTGGTGAAGGAAAAATTTAAATACTGCTACAATAATACAATGTTAACAAAAATTGGCCAGGTACTGAGGTCATTTTAGTGAGCTACCATCATTTAAATATAAGAAAAGTAACTTCTTGGTCCAATTTTACAAAAGATTGTCTCTAGAGAACATTATTTGAGAAGAGTGCTTTTTCAGACACATTGTGATATTCAAATTCACTTACAACAATTATAGATTTACCTTTGAATTACCTTTCTTAAAAAGCTGTCAGATTTCCATTTCTTCGGGAGATATTTTCACCAGTGTGCTGTTCAATTCCACAGGTTAAACTTTCTTCATTATTATTAAGAACTTCATACATATTGGTGAGATTGCCATTCATTGCTTTTTCATCTTTTCGAAAAGACAGAGGCAGACTTGCTAGACTAAAGCTGACGTCTTTGAAGGCATGCAACAAGAATATCCCCACAATGATTGTAAAGAAGCCACTCAGAGTACCGATGATGTCATCAACAGGCATGTCTTGCCACTCCTTAAAGAGAATAGCTGAGCACGTTAAAACAGATGTTGTAAAGAAGACGTAATATATGGGAGTCACAATGGAAGTGTTGAATATGTCCAGCGCCCGGTTAAGGTAGTTAATCTGTGTGCTCACACAGACCACGAGGCCCAGCAGCAGGCCCCAGGCCAGGGGCTGGCGTAGCACAGGCTTGCCAGCAAACAGCTCCTTGAGAGCAATGCCCAGGCCCTTCACGCAGGAGACTGACAACGCCCCGATCACAGAGCAGACTGTTATGTACACAAGGATGTTCGTCTGTCCGTGGCGAGGTCCCACCACGAAGATTAGTATCAAAGACACAATGACGACGAGTGTCGCAAACACCACAAAACCTGTAGGAGGCCAAGACAAGTTGTATTTAGTCAAGCGTTTGAATACTGAAAGAAAACAGAATCCAAAACAAACTTTCAACTCGAAAGGAAGAACAGGGTGGTCCTAAAATAGAAACAGGCCGTTGGCTGCCCAGCAGGAGCTCACGCGCTCACATCAGCAACGCCATGCACACTGGATACTGGACTGTGCTTCATATGCAGCAACTGGTACACCACCATCAAAGACGACCCACAGCCCTCCATTCTAGAAATACCATGTTACTTCCCACCCACTGGAGGGTTCTAACTAAGGACAGGTGCAATCGGAAACTAGTGGACAGACATCATGAGGTGACCTTGAATGCTCAACAATTTATAGATGCTAAGAACGAACAGGAGTTAGAAATCAAGTCTGTTCTAAGAGGAGTAAACTTTAGAATATTTCCCCTGCTGGGATCAAGAACAAATAAAAAAGAACTTGAAAGGTACTGTTGGGGTTCTAGCAAGCTGAATATGGAGACTTGACAACAGCTAACAGCTAATGACTGTGTGGCAGAGTGGGTCAGGGACGTTTCAGCCATCTGTACTGATTTCACTCATTTAACCCACACAAATACCTCGCAGCTACAGAGATACTGTCATCTGCATTTTATGATAAGGAAACTGAGGCATGCAAGTCCCATACATTTACTCTGCTAGTAAGTATTGTTGTAATAGGAATTTTATAGATCAGGAGAGGACAGCAACAACAGCATGGAAGCCAGAAAGCAGAGGATTAATTGATAGAGCAGAGCCAAGGAAGCCAAGTCCCACATCAGCAGTGATTAGAAAGTCACTCAGTTTGCAACACAAAGTACCTCTGGAAGTGGGGTGAAAGGGAGACACTGAAGAAGCAACAAGAGCCCCAGATCTGAGCTGCAGGACACTGGGCCAGCTGAGTGCGGATAGCTCACTGAAGCGTGTGTCTGTGCCATTTAGCAACCTCCCCCATCCCCAGCTCCCAGGATGCCAGCAGGCCGGCAGGAGACTGCCAGGGATCTGAGCAGCCTGACTTTCAGAAGGCAGCAGAGGGTCAGCAAGACAGGTGCCAAAACCAACAAAAAAGTGCAGCCATTGCTCCATGTAGGTGGAGGAATACTTCAAAATAGATCAGCACCCCACAAAAACTAAAAACGACCAGAGAGACAATGATGAACTAGCAGACCAGTCAAAACAGCCAGAACTTGAGGGGCTAAAATCTGAAGAAAGAGGAAGCATCCTGAGGTGAGGCCAACAGCCCTCTGCTTTTTCCCTCAGGGCCATTGCCAATTCTAGAGCAGGGAGTAGGATCGACACAAAGGCCAGCAGGAGGCGGTGACCTGGGGCTTGTGCAAGTTCCAGCAGACAGGTGAGGCACGGTGGGCACGTGCTGCACATGCTGAGGTCAGAGGAGCCAAGCGGAGCCTGATGGAGGAGGCCAGAGGCTGAGCAGGCGCCTGCAGTCCTGGGTACTGAGACACACCCTGGTGTTCTCAGCTCCCCAAGGGTAGGGTCCAAGTAAACACCCCAGGCTTTCACCTGACAGCCCACAGGTCTATGACCAAGAATAAACGCCAAATGGAAAGAGAGCAGCCCCGACAAAGCCTGAAACAGCCCTTGAGGTTGGAGGTGGTCTCTTGGATTCTTCTCTGCCTGCCAGAAATTTAGGTTCACTCTGAGGGAAGAAAACATCACTCAAAACCTACTCTTGGTAATATTCTGTGGCCAGCATCGATCGAAACTGCCAAAAGACAAAATTAAATGACTGAAAACGAGAGAAAACATCATAGAAATAGGCCCATGAATAATCCTGATACTGAAATTCGTACAAAGACTTGAAAATGACTTGGGCTCCCGGGGATGTGCTGCATAGCAGCAGGCATGTGCCTGACACACTGGCCTGGACCTTGGCAACTGCCGGGTGCAAACCACTACTACGCTTCACAGTTCAAGTCCTGGAACAATCAGCCTCTTTACATGCACACAGGTTTTGATCAAGGTAAACGCTGGATGAAAGAATGAACTGCAGAAAGACTAGGGAAGCCTTTCGTCTTCTCACCTGGATCCCCAAGCTTGTGCGACATTTCGTTCAAAGTCTCAATCTCCTCCTCCTTTGGTGCATGAATGACCATAACTGTAGATCCCAGAACACTCAGCAAACATCCAATCTTCCCGTGAAGATTAAGTCTTTCACTTAGAAAGTATGAAGAAAGAATGGCACTAAGATGGGGAGGAAACGGGGAGAAGATTAATCAGCTGCTTTTCTCATTTTCAATTATCAACATAACTCAGATTTTAAATTGAATTCAAACTAAAACACTGAGTTTATAAGATTCTGGCTTTCAGTCAAAGTGAAGAAAATGTATTCAGTCATAAAATGAAAGCTTCTAGGGAACTCCCTGCTTCATCATACACTAAACCAGAGGAGATACCATCTTTCTACTGTAGGAAGTCAATATGGAATTTATAATAAATGGAGCTATGGTACAACTTTATATCCTAATTAAGAGTCTATGTCCAAAACCAATGCTTAAAAATCTCAACTAGGGCCGGCCGAGTGGCGCATTGGTTAAGAGCTGACTTGAGATGCCAGAGGGCCCCGGTTCGGATCCCACATATGAGGGCCAGTGACACTGCCCTCTACAGCTAAGATGCTGAACAGCGGCTCAACCTGGAGCTGGGCTGCCGTGAGTCGTCGGCGTGGGCTGCAGCCCCTGCTGCAGTGGGTTGCCATGGGCTACCGTGTGTAGCCAGCAGCCAGCGTGAGCGGCCAGTAGCCGCCATGAGCGGCCATCCAGAAGCCGGGGACTGATCTGCGTCGCCCAGGAAGAGTGCAATGATGGTGCCAACTTTGGCCAGTGAAGCAACGTCCTCCACAGCTAGACTGAAGAACAAAAGGACAGCAACTTGTCTGTTCCCCTTCCCCCAATTCCCCAGCGCTATTCCCATCTCCTAATTCCCCAAAAATCTTTAAAAAAAAAACAGTATAAACTTCTAAATATATTGGTATAATATACAGAAAATTAAGGAAAAAAGACATGCACCATAATATATCTTGATATATTATATAGTATCTTGAAAAATTACATAATTTACATGTAATACTGATTTGTATATAAATGAGTTTACATATAAATCAAATATGTGTATATACATTTATACATAGATATATATGTATACACACACACACACACACACCTCTCAACTGACTGATATACCTATCAATCAATCAGCTTTGGTAATAGTAAATAAAACTCAGACTTCGGTGTGGGCAGAGCTGTTTGGGCTAATCATTAAAATAACAGAAGCAGGACAAATCTTCAGAGGCACATGATCTAGCTCCAATCAGTGATTTTCTGTTGTGGGTACAGAAATCTATCCTCACCAACTGCACGTGTCAAATGATACATGTGTGACAAGTACAACTTGGAATTTTAAAAGATTGAAATCAAAGTGAAACTAGTACTGGTTTTGAATACAAGCAAGACAAAGCATAAAAGCATTTTCTCCCAAGTTCATAGCCAGCCAGCACACAGAAGATAACGTCCTCAAGGTTGTTTACCTGTGGCTGATGCTGAGCAAGGGTAATTAGATGTACTGAATACCTCCCAGCCCAAATGCCCACGGCTGTTTGCCGCACCGCATGTGGTGTACTTACCTCACTAGGACGCTGAGAGCTCCGAGTGGAGTCACTAGGGTGGCTGGTGCAAAGGCATACGCAGCAAAGTTGGCCACCTCACCAGCGCCCACTTGGAAATGGACAGCAAAAGAAAACGCTCAGACAGAACATTGAAAGGCGTGCATTTTATCTAATATATTTTTATATGCTACTTCAACTGTATTTAGTCATGTCTTTATTTCCTCCCATCTACTCATATGGGTTCTCCTATAAATTATCAACATTAAAACACAGTCCAAATCAGTTAGAAACAATACAAATCTATAATTTTAATTGAAGAGTTCTAATTTATACTTACATCTAGGTTTTTAAAATAAATTTTAATAGATATTTATATCCTGTGACAACAAACACAAATTAATTAAAAGCAGCTAAAACTGATGTGAAAGCACTTCTCCCATGTCTTTTTCACTGGATTTTTAAAAACTCAACTCTTGGGGTGACAGGTTAGCTCAGTTGGTTAGAGCACGGTGCTGATAACACCAACATTGCCGGTTCGATCCCTGCATGGGCCACTGTGAGCTGCGCCTTCCCTAAAAGAGTCAACTATGCCATTGTAGCATGAAAGCAACGTGTAATCAATGACCACAGCTGTTCCCCGCCCCCATCCCCCAAAACAAAACAAAACAAAAAAACCCCTCAACTGTTACATTCAAAAACTATCCTTGGGTACCTACTACATGCCAGATACCTTCCTAGGATCAGGAGGTATAGCACGGAGCAAACGTTAAGATATGACTTCCCTAAACCTTACACTGGTGAGGGAAAAAGAGACCAAATGCATGTCAAGTTTCCCCCTCCTAAAATTTAAAGCAATCTGCCCTTCACTTTACATCCCTTCCCTACTTTACTTCTAGTGAATGTCAGCATTTATCACTAACACACACATTTTATTTATCTTGTTTATTGTCTTCCATCTAGAATGTTAAATCTCATGTAGGTAAAGATTTTTCTTTTTGTTTGACTAATGTACCTCCAGCACCTAGAACAATCGGCATACAAAAGATAGTTATTTGTTGGGCCGGCCAAGTGGCGCGTTGGTTAGGAGCTGGCTTGGGATGCCAGAGGGCCCCGGTTCGGATCCCACATGAGGGCCAGTGACACTGCCCTCTACAGCAAAGATGCTGAACAATGGCTCGACCTGGAGCTGGGCTGCCGTGAGTCACCAGCGACGGCAGGAGGGTTGCCATGGGCTACCGTGTGTGGCCAGCAGCCAGCGTGAGCGGCCGGCCAGCAGCCGCAGTGAGCGGCTCTCCAGAAGCCTGCGACTGATCTGCCTCGCCAGGGAAGAGCGCAATGATGGTGCCAACTTGGGCCAGTGAAGCAACGTCCTCCACAACTAGACTGAAGAACAAAAGGATGGCAACTTGTCTGTTCCCCTTCCCCCAGTTCCCCAATAAAAATCTTAAAAAAAAAAAAAAAAGTATTTGTTGAACCGATAGTCATATCAGCCTTCTTGTTATTTCAACTGCTCTTAAACTTAGAATGTTTACATAATTTAGTCCCGAATACTCTGAAGGCTTAGTGTCTTAAGGATCATTTTTTCTATGTACCATTTTTTTAATTGGGGAATTGAGGGAGGGAAACAGTGTTGGGGAATTGGGGAGGAGGACCAGCCAAGTTGTTGTTCTTCAATCTTAGTTGTGGTAGGTGCCAGTCAACATCTGGCTGTCCATTGGCAGCTCATGGCCTCTAAAGGCTCAAGGTGCCATGTTCAATCTTAGTTGCGGGTGGACATAGCCAGCATCCCATGCGGGAGTTAAACCAGCAGCCTTGTTAAGAGCGCATGCTCTATCCACTGAGCCATCCAGGTGGCAGTTCAGCTCAAGGTGGCAAGTTTGATGGCGTAGCCCACCATCGAATAGGCAGTCTTGTTGTTAGGAGCACGTGCTGAGCCTTCCTTCCACCTGTTGGCAGCTCAGCTCGGGTGCAGCGTCACTGGCCCATGTGGGGTTCGAGCTGGCGGCCCTGTTGCTCAGAGCTCGCGCTCTTAAGCTAACGTTTAACCAACTGAGGCACTCAGCCGGCCTTCTATCTTTTAAAGCCAATCATCCAAGTAAGCATGGACAGTCTTAACAAATGCTTACCTCCTCCTCCAATGAGGAATGAAAATTAAATACCTGATGTTTTCTATCATCTTTCACTCTCAAAATTACCTCCTCAAACCGAGCAGAATTTAAAAAAACACAAGGGTCTATCAGACATGTTTTAATCATATACGTAAAAATTCTTCCCATTCAAATTAAATAAGCTATTAAACTGCTAAATGACTTTTACAGGCTTAAATTTTACATATTTTGTGTTTTGTTCATTAAAAAATAGGAAGTATTTAAACTTTTTAAATTTGCTAATAGTATATACAAACACTTTAATATACAACCACAACACTTTCTTGCCATGATGTGCATACATACTTGACAGCAGTCCTGCCCACCACAACCATTCTTTAAGGTATGCATGGCCACCTTGACCTGTGAAAGAAAACAGATTTCACTTCTTTAGAAGATTTTCAGAGTCCTATAAACTTATGACAACTATTAGTAATGACAGATTTTAAAATATCTCATGTGTTGATTATTACTACTTTGAATAAAGGTTTCATCATGATTTTCCAAGGAGGTTTCTTCAAGAATATTTTTATGATTATATAAGATGTGAGAATCACCAGAATGTTAAAAATGTCTAAGTCTGTAGTGCTGAAGGAATTAAATCAATCCTTAAATAGTTCATACTTCATTCTTCTGTGAACTCAGCTTTAATAAAGAAAGAAAATGAACCAATAAGTAGCCCAATTTCAAATGAGTTAGTCTGAAAGCAGATAAGCCATGAGGTGTGGGTGAGGCCCGCTTCTGAGGTAGTCACCTTGGAGAAAGGAGTCCTATACTGACCAGACATGAAAAGACTGAGCTGCTCATTGTCTGCAGTGGTCAGCATGCTCATCCTGCTTTTTTATTTGACTTTCCTCCCAACCAACTAATAAAATCAAGCAATTGGTGCTTAAGCCATTGTCCAAAAGAAAAAGCCTGTGCAAATGAACCCTCTGGCAAGCACACCTATCATGGACAATGAGAGTACCTGCCTTAGGGCCAACAGTGAGGAATCAATAAATGTAATTAATGGTTAAGCAGTACATGCTGATACTGCCTCCTCTCCACTAAACTCTAACAGAGGCTACCGTCTGAAGATTGCTTCATTAGGTTTAGCCACAGACATGGACAGAAGGGGAGGTGATAACCAGATCTAGAACAAGCAGAGGCTGAATGACAGAGAAATGACCCAAATGCAACATGACGCTGAGAGGTGTTGTGAAAGCACCATACAACATCAGAAGGGGGTCCACTAAAACCAAGTATACCCAGGGCCTCCTGACGCGTCAGCAGTTTCTAGGGAGCAATCTGTACCATCCTTCAGAAGTTCACCCAACTGAGGATGCGTCAACCCAGGTAAGCCTCTCTTTCCTTCCTGCCTTTAAGATCATCAGGAAAAATGGCTAAGGTGAAAGTCAAATTCCTACTATCATGGACCAAGGACCCTAGCCTCCAATAAGATGGTGATTCTTTTCGTAGACCCTTCCTTCCTTCTCTGCAGACATGGCTGCTAACTTCGCGTCAGTCCCTGCTCCCACTTCAGTACTAACTGTGGGAGTGAGTAGTTAACTGACTTTGACATCTTCTCATTACAAAACTGATGTTCGATTCTCTATGAACATTTATAACTCTTGTGCAGTTCAAAGTTCTGAAATACTCATTAGGAATGAAGATGTGGTCTTCTAAAGCCAAAACCTGAGCACATAAGCACATACTGATGTTATTTCAGTCACATTCAGCACAACCTACCTGCTCGCATTGAGCCCTTCCTGGCAAGTCGCAGGAGGCCTTTTTTTTTCAAAATGAAACTGCCTCCAATGAAAATGCTGGAGCTCATAGCCAATCCCAGACCAATATAAAAGTCATATTTTCCACGCCCTTGGCTCATTTCGTTTGTTACTTAAGAAGTCCCTGTGAATCACATTGACCACGGGATAGAGAAACTGCCAGTGCTGGAGGCAGGATGATGCGATGCAGTCTTTAAACCTAAACAATGAACAAAACGAGATTTTCACAGAAGGATCGTGACAGCTCATACGCAATTCAAAATTTTACTCCATTTTTTCCCTCATAAATGAATAATCTTTTCTTACTACTATTGAAAATAAATATTTACTATTTATATTTAACACTAATTACATTTCTTCCAATTATGGCCATAAATGGCATCATGATATAAAACTAAGCTTAAAAACCTTTGGATTGAGGGGCTTCCATTTTAGCTAGGTTGATTAGGAGGCCATGTGGAGAAGGCAACATTGAACAAAGGCTTGAGGGATGGGAAAGTAAAGCAGAGGAAGGTGCAAGAGCAAGGGCACTGAGGTCTGAGCAGGCATGCAGTTTTCTCAGAAAATAAAGGCCACGGGGGGATCACTCTGAGTAAGCAAGGGTAGGCAGGTACCACAGCAGGATATTTTCATACAACAGAAATATCCTGAAAACTCCCGCAATTCTTTTATTATTACTTTTCCCTACTAGAAATCACCACGACTTTACTGTACACTCACGGTGGCTCTGTTCCAGGTGATGGATACACATTACTTCTAATCCATACATTGAGAATGAACTATCATTACCCTCACCTTACAGCTAAATAAACCTAGCCTCCTACAGGTTATGCTGCACGCAGAGGACTGCAAAATTACAGCGTGAAATGGAACCTCACATGTCCACTGGCCTTTACTTCGGTACTGTCCATATCGTAACAAAACTTTAGAGTTCTTAGTCTTTACTTCTGCTTAGTTTTCATAGCTGTAATTTTTTCCAACCTCTCATTTGGCTAATTATTTTTAAAAGCAGTACTTATATATATTATACTACAGAACCTAAATCTGCAATCCTAATTTAACAATATTAGTTATTAATTAAAATTTTAACTTACATGTAAGTTTAATATGGTGTCTCTTATGAAAAAAAAGGCTGGAAGAGGTAGAGATGACTTATTCAATCTCATTTCCTTGTAAATAATACCCTTTACTGTCATAAACTTTTAAACCCTGGCAGAGTAGCTGTGGCCTGGAAAGAAGAAAATACCGAAGTAGGCAAAAAGACTGAATAATTTCTAAGTACTTTTTAAAATTTGGTTACTAGCCTCCATGAAACAAGATCTGTTCTCTCATATTTCCTCTTATTACTTAAAAAAAAAAAGTACTGAATGGGCACATAATTTCTAGAAACAGAACTAAGACGTAGTCTTGTATTAAACGAATTGAAAATTCTAGTAAAGCTGTTAATGAGACACAAACACAAAACTCAATTTATATTGAGTTTTGTACAGTTGTATGGAGCAGGAAAGAGGATTCAGTGACTTTATAAAAGTTAGTAAATTAAACCAGCAGACTTCTAAGGCTTGTTCAACTGGCAGTTAATACATCTCCACTGAAACAATCTTCTAAAACTATTTTAATGAACTTAATGCACACGCAGCCCGGACAGGGTAAAGCCAGGTTTCCGTGGGACTTAATGGCAACCAGTTCACGGTGAGATTTCTTCATGCAGGTTACGAAGAAAACCGCTTCCATCACAGAACACGCACGGTGTCCCAGGGCAAATAAAGGCGCCATGAAGGGCGAGTCCCAATCCGCGCCGAGCAGGACGGCCTACGACGTGCCTCTTAGCGCTCGTCTCTGTAAGGAAGCAAGAGTGGCGACCTCACTCACCGCAGCTGGCGGTCCGGCTCCGGTCACCTCCGCTTACGCCCTCACTCAGGCCGCACCAGCCGCTCCTTCCTGTGCTCGCGCGGCCAGCGCCTTCGTCGCTGTCCAGTGGGAAGTGAGAGCATCCGGGGCTGCAGCCGTGCGCACCGTCTCCTCCATGGAGAGCTCCGAGGGTACTCGGCCCGGACGACCTCCGGACACCGCGGCCGCAGGTATTAAGGACCGCTGTCGAGAAGAGCCTGGGCACGGCCGAGTGACGCAAGAGGCAGCGCGCGCACGCTCAGCGCGGCACGACGAAAGCCCAGTCGCCGGGGCGTGATCGGGTCGACTTCCGGTTTCTTTACTAGGCGGAGGGCGAGGGGGAGCTAGAGCAGAGTCAGGCGGCCGGGGCGTGTCGGGCACCGCGAGGGGCGGGGCTAATTGCTGGGGGCGGGGCGAGACTCAGGGCTAACTCTGAATCCTGGAAGAGATGCATTCTTTGGGCGAGTTTGTGGTTTGGTAAATGGGCATCTCGAGCCACCTGGAGAGATTTATTTTCCATGAGATACATGGGAAACCCACTGTTAGGCTATCCCGCTTTGGCTCCTCCTACGAAATCATTTTGGGTGAAAATCTTTCTGAAATGAACATGCTTATTGAACCAGAAACTGCCATGTAATGTGCTCTTTGCAGACGGTAATCCCATTGAGCTGCTATGTTCTGGACTACATAGCTCCTGACAACTCATGTTTTGTGATAAGTAACTATGCAGCTTCTAATTTAAATGCTTTTGATCTGTGAGCTTGGCCACATCTTTGGTCCCAGCCAAATTCTAGCTAGAGGACGTGTCAAGTAAGGAATTACACTGAATATTAAAAGATGGTTGGCAAGTTGGTCTCTGGTGATGCGGTAGATTGATGAAAAACAGCTAATTCTCTCCCCATCCATGTGCCCACACGTTTTGCAGAGTGACCTTGCTCATGGTGATGATTTCAATGGATACCATCATGACATACATCAAAACTTACCAAATTGTATATTTTATATATGTGCAGTTATTGTATGTCAATTATACCTCAACAAAGCTGTTGTAATGCTTTGTCAGTCACTGAAGTACAGGCAGGACTTACTAAAACAGTATTTTTTAAAAATCATATGCAGCAGGTTCTCAAATAATGTCATTTTATTCAATGTCGTTTCATTTAACGTTGATAGAAACTTAACTCTTGTTTGTATCAATTAGCTTGTGGTAAAATTTGTTTCATTAAATTTGTTTTGTAAAATTATACATCATTTCACTGCAGTTCCAAGAACCTATCCGTGACATTCAGTAAGGACTTACCGCATCACTAAATCAGTTTTCTCACGCATAAGTGGTTCTCCGGATACTCTTCCATGTTTTGGTTTTGTTACCACAGGTGCTAGCCAGGAGCACAAGAACAGTGTAACAGGTGATCATTTTTCTTCAGGTGGTTTTCTTTTACACCATCATTTCACTGTATCAGAAGGTAATCACTGTGTGGTGAATCCCTTCACATATCATGGATTTGCTCCCTTAGATAAGCACAGGTGGACATTTTCTACATCATGATGGAGACCTGGGCTACTCATTTCTAGAAAGAAAATGGGAACCATTTGATTGAGAAATTAGGATGATATGGAACCTGAGACTACACAAACATTTCAAATAAAGGGTAACAAAAGAAGTGTTCAGCTAGAAATAAGTTATTTTATTTTAAAACACATACAGATTAATAAATATTGGAAAACTTAACAAATAGCCTTTTTATTTACATAAGGCAATTACATGCTATGACTACTTCTATACAGCAAAATATAAGCAAGTCTTAGCCATTGACAGTTTGTGTGTGATAATTGGAAGCTCCCGATACATTTACGTGTAAAAGCTTTTATGGAACCTGTCAACATTTTACATTTTTTATCTAGTCTTCTTCCTCTCTTTTATGATTTATTCCATTTCACAAGAAAGTAACAGTTATTTTAAAAGGCAAAAATGACTCAGGAATGGTGCTAAAAAACAGTAGCCTTAAATTTTTCCAAAGTGCAAAACACTGACATGAGGGTTGGGGGGCAAATTATTCTATTCTGACAAATAAAAGAAATACTCTGGACTTTTCAGTGTGACCCTTTGGCACTAGTGGTATGGGATTCCTGACATTCATCTGGTGTCAGGTAGTTCAACATGGTCAGGGTTGAGCTGCTGGAAAGCAGGAAGTTCAGCATCACTCATTACAAATTCAACACAACAGAATCAGTCTAGTTCACAGACCACTGATTTTCTGCAGAACATAAATCTATGCAAAATGTCAGAGAAGCTCATTACACCATCAGAACGTGATCATTCAGTGCAGCTTTTAAAAGTCCCTGTTTAACGCCCACATTTTACAATAGAATATATAAAACCCTTCCTTTTAAAACAACAGAAAAGGAAAATTAAAGCTTCATAGAATTATGCTAACTTAACACCTAGTGCTTCCTTTGCTTTTTCAGTGCTCGAAGCTGCATGTGTACAGCACAGTCCTGAGCAGACGGGGCCCAGAGCGAGCTGAGCTCCCATTGCATCACTCCCAAGCAGTCCTGCGCATGACATTGTCACCTGAGGCTTCTGGCACATGCTAACGTGCGAATACCCTACAACAGTCGAGCTGGAGAACCATCCCACCCCTTTAGAGGTAGAGAAACTGAGGCACAGAAGGGTTAAGTGACTCACCTATAAGTTGCACAATTCAAGAAAAAATAGAGAAAACAAATAAATCCTTCTCCCCAGTCATGCACTGGGCCGTAGACTCTGCCTTTTATCAAATTGGGTACATTTGAAACAGATGTTTATTTACATGGTCCTTATTCTATCGAGTATCAACTTTTAGCTGGACCATGTTTTTGATGTAACATGAAGTTACATTTTCTTAAAATATAACTCTTGTTGCATTTAATAGCATGTGATAAATGTGTATGAAAATAAGCGTGTGGTGACATTGAGCCAAATTCTGATTCTGTCACTATCATTCTTAACCTTTTCAAGTATATGGTGGAGGTATAAGAATCTGGGCAGATGTGAAAAATCACCTAGAAGCTAAAGGGCAGACCCTTAATATTCATCGCCAGTACAAATGTGAGGCGGGAGTGAAGAATACAGAAAACTGAGGTATTTTATATAATAAACTGTTCTATGGTATGACTGGTATGTGGGCTGATCTTTCCTCTTTCCAACTCAACAGACCTCCAGCTATGAGTGAAACATACAAAAAACATGGACATGTTCCTGGGAGCAAGGTCAGTGCTACGGAGTCAATGCTACGTTTTTGGTCCCTGAGAAGGCAGAACACCAACGTTCCCTCTAATCCATCTAGTCCTGCTTGATGGGTGACCTGTGTCCTTGGTGGCAAACAGTGAGGACACCTTCCAACCACTGGAGCCAATCGGACAGCCGTGAACAGAGCTAAACCGACCCATTCTTCTCTTCAGTCCTGCTCAGTCACAGGAAGCCTAAGTCAGGGCCAAGCCCACAGGAAAAAGAGCAGGACGGGGCTCTGCAGACTGGGGATTAGCTGAATGGCTTGGAAAAGAGGGGTCACCTCCCAGCACAGCAGGGGCCCATGCTCAGGGCCACCCCAGTCTCCGCGGACTGAGCTGCTCATCCACACCTGGGAGACACTGAGTGTATCTCACGTGCTTTAGAACCGACTAGAAGTGGCCCAGAAGTGAGCTCATATTTACAGAGAGCGGAGCTGTCGCAGAACAAGGAGGATGAGGGGTGACTGCATATGTTAACAGGAATCTCTGCTATCAGACATGAAACCCAGAGAAAAAAATGATCAACCTACTGCTCCTGGAATTGACTTCTGGAAATAAAACTGAGTATAATGAATTGGCCTGATAAGTAGGAACTGAAAGAGTATTTATTATTGCTGAACCAAGAGCAGCGAAGAAGTATATTTCACTAACATTCTAAAGTAAAAAGGCCATGATGACCTGTCCCCAGGGTCCCATCTGTGGGCAGTTCTCACTACACGTGTGGCAGGTAGCCAGCCACCCTGCTTCTCCAGAACCTTCTCTGTAGAACAGCAAAATGGCAGGGTGGCCTCGCTGCTGGCGAGGGTAGAATCCTTAGCGGGCTCTACAGTGGATCAGTGAGCAATCTTTCTAAATGCAGATTCAGATGAGAAAACAGGGCATCCAAGTAGGAGAGGCGAGAAAAGGCCTATTTATGTATCTGTCCAGAGTAAATCCGCAAACTGTGATCACAAACATGCTTTTAGAGACTTGAAGACGAGTAGGCAGCAGGGATTTCCCCCTCAGTTTTATCAGAGATAAAACCCAAAGCATAGTCTAGTAATGAAAGTGTCTCATATGTATTTACTGCTGCAGAGGCCAGTAAGAGACCCATCCCTCCCCTAAAACTCGCACTTTGAGGCTTTTTCTTTGCAATTTGAAATGAATTCTGAATACGTGAATTTGTAAAATAAATCCTATGAAATCCGAAGTTCTGTGCTCTCTGTCAAACTTGTAAATTAGGCTGTCAAGCTGCTGGTCATGTCACTTACTTTGAGGCTAGAGTAACTGGATGAAGTGAACTTGGTTCCACTACAAGGAGCGGCACGTCCACCCGTGACACCTGCTGACAGATGTCACCCTGGGACAGCCTACTGCTCTTGGGCCAGTCACCTCCAGGAGGTGTTATTAATACTTTGAGATTTTGTTTTACTCTAAAAAAAATCATAGGGACGATCATCCAGAAAATGTCTCCCCTGAGTGTCCATAGTATGACTTTAAATGAAAATATAATAAGGAACACCAATAGAGGCATTTAAACTAAGTTTCACAGGTCAGCTGTAACAAAATAAACATGACAATTTCCACATGACACAAACTTTCTCAGTATACTTGTAAAGCCACCTTTATTCTTTCCAGATCTCAAACTCCTTTCCTAGGAAACTATTTTTATGCCTAAAAGTATACTGATATTGCTACATTATATTTTCAGAAGGTCAGTTCAATAAGTTAAGGCCTGCATTCCTAAAAATATTGATGATAAAAAAAAAAACCAAATCTTCAAGAGCCGATAAAAAGAGTGAGGAACTTTTTGAGCATTTATAAACTATCAGTTAATGTAAGATTTAAAAATTTGTGAAAATAGGTTTGTTGCTGCTATCAGTTCGCAAATCATGACAACCCCTTACCATCAAATGCATTTTTAATTCATAAAGGTTCTTCACTGTGTAAACTATCCTTGGGTGATTTAGCCTCCTTGTTCCTTCGGTCTTTAGAAATGTTCTTTTTAGCTGGAAAACCACATTTTTTTTTTCTTTACTGAGTAACTTTGGGGATGATTCAAGTCCATGTGCTACTTCACTGAAGCTACTTGACCCAAGCCCACCTTTCACCTTGGCTCCGCTTGCTGTTCGGATTAAACACTGTACACGAAGGATGCGCTATCCTGATGAAATCTTCACATCACTTTGTGCTTTGCTCCTATTTAATACACATGGAAGATTTACTGTAGACAGACGGATGAGCTCTTCTGTCCAAATACCAGCATAATTAATGGCTATTTTGCATTCAGAAGTTTAATGAGACGTTGGGTAATTGCTGGGTATTCTGCCATCTCAAACAACAGAGAAATGGCTAAATTGTTTTCATTTTTGCTAGAAATTCTTTTGAAACTCACCGTGTGTGTCCCAATTTTACTCGCCTAAGCCTGATGCTGTCCCTTGTCCCTGTATTACGGGGAACTCGATATGTGTGCTGTAGAACAGTTGCTCACACATCTAAGTCTTATTATCCAGTTAAATAATTTATTTCTTCGGAGTGGCCACAATGTTCACTAAAAGAGAACGTGGATGTATTTGACATCGTTACATAGAGTGAATGCAAATAAAATACCTCATGCTACTTAAGTCCATTGTCTTTAGTTGGACAATAACTCTATGCTAATAGGGTTGATTTTTCTAATTTGTCTTTAGTCTCGACTCTCTTCCAACAAATGAATATACCATATTTCTAACTGCTTTACACATTTATATTTTGAATAGTGAAATATTAAAGTATAATCAAGGAGGTTGTGTTATTCTGTGCTAAGAGCACACACATACAGTAATAGTCAAATTAAGTGAATAGTTCAAGTGGTAAAGGCACTGAAATTGATTTGAGCTATCAGAAGTCCGCTTGTAAACGGAGTTCTGCATCATGCCCACGTACCCTTCTCTATTTGCAATTAACATGTCTTGGACGGGGACAGTCAGCTCATTAGAGGATTAAAAACAATTAAATGTAGATACCTCTTATTTGAATGAGGTTATACAGGCTTAATGCCAAAGAACACAACTACGGATACGTTTACTATACAGAGTCAGATTTCAAGACAGTTTCTCCAATTTCCAAAGGAATCTTTCTAAGTAAGAATACTTGCTCTCCTGCAAAGGCTTACTAGAAAGAGCCCATCTTTATTTTCTATGTAAATAACGTTAAAATGTTTAGAATGGAGAGTATTCATGAAAGCTTCCAAGTTAATGGCAATGACCGAGAGACTGCTCTCATCAGAGAGAGATGACTCTAGGCAACCATTTTCAGTCTGCAGAGCTCAACTGCCCCGGTGCTGAGCAGTGCCCCCTATTCTCCACCAGGCCACCTGCTAACGTACAAGCAACACTAGTGTCAGTAATTTAAGGTCCCCTCTACTTTACATCAAGTTAGGACCAGAAGTCACATCTATTCCCTGTCCCTCGAGCCACCCAACACCTCGTTGCATCCTAGTCTGTTTTCATATTTGATTTGTTCATCTCCCCAAGGTTGAAATTGAACTCTTTGAACACCTGTATCAGGACAATGCCGACAGAGACCGTGGTGAACCCACAGGCCATCCCCAGGAAGTCCACCAGCCCCACATTGCTCCACTCCCGGAAGAGGATGGCGGAGGCCAGCAGGACGAGTGTGGTGAACACCACGTAGTAGATGGCCCCAAACACGGACGAGTCGAAGCACTCGAGCGCCTTGTTGATGTACCTGAACTGAACGATGATACTGCAGCCGAGCACGGCCAGCAGCCCCAGGCACAGGCACAGGGCGCGCCGACTGGACGGGTTGTTGTGCAGGATGTCCTGGGCCGCCAGCCCGATGCCCTTGGTGGAAGGCACGGTAAAGCTCCCCAGCAGGGAGCAGATGCTGATGTAGACCATTATGTTGGTGGGCCCGTGGGCTGGCGCAATCCAGAAGATCAGGAGCAGTAGCATGAGCAGCACGATGCAGAGGTAGCCCACAAACACTGCAAAACAGGGCCCTGGGTCAGCGCAGGCACCGGACAGAGATAGCGGGTGGGGTGCCCCGGGGTCAGCGCAGGTGCCAGGCAGAGATCGGGGAGTAGGGTGCCCAGGTCAGCACAGGAGCCAGGCAGAGATGGGATGGGGTGCCCCTGGGTCAATGCAGAGACGGGGGGGAAAAGCCACACAGAAATAAGAGAAAGGGGCAGTGGCCATGGGGGCAGAGAGCAGACAGGAGAGGGCACATGGCAAGCAGGGGCTCAGCAGAATGTGTGAGAATTAGGCTGCTTGGAAAGAAAGGCCTGCGTCCAAGCAAACCTCTCTGTTTTCATGTGGTCAGTCTTAACTCTGTATTTTCATCTTTAGAGAAAGCAGTCAGGTGTTCTGCCAGGTTTGACTCACTTCAGTGTTTTTCAACCCTGCTGTTTTCATGATCTCGCCCCTAAGGAACCACCTGACATTTTTCCCTTAGTCGCCCACCCCATACAATTTTAACACCGCAATACGCTGTGTGTCTGCTTCTGGACTGTACCTACACCTGTGCTTACACATTAGGAGTATGATACCTCCACCCCACCCCCAAGGCTGAGTTTTTACCCTCTGGGGATGATATCACCCCACTAAGAATGTGTGCTTTCCATTTTTCTTTCTGAAAAACTTTCCTCCCACCTTTCCTTTTCTTCCTCTGTCTGAATATCAGAGCTTACATATCAGGGATTTCCAAAATATAAATAAGTTCAGATTTTAAATTCCTTCTGAGGTACTTATTTGACATTCTCTGGTGTTTTTTACCTTTAGAAAAAATAGCAACACCTTTAACACATTAAGTGGCCATAACAATACCAGGTTAAAAAAAGTGTTTCATGTTAAAGAGAAAAATCTTTTTGCTACCATTATGCCTTCTTATCAAATTTTTATGGTGGTATTCAAATGAAACATGCTTGTCGTACAAGTTAGTGCCTGGCTCTGGTGGTATCAGCCACCCTCCTGAGACAGTAGAAAGCCTGTGGATACAATCTTCCGAGAGTTACATCAAGTCTTCCAGGACACTCAGGTCTAGTTTCCTGACCTCTTATTCATGTCTCTCTACTCTCACTTGTCACAGTATTGGAAATATTTTGGATTTTATAGGAGAAGATAAGTATCACAGTACTAAGTGTTTAGGGATAAAAAAATTACAGGGTGATACAGTCTTGGGTACTTCGCTGTGAATTCCTTTGGTGGGCCTTACACCGTTCCCACTGCTATCAATCTAGCCAACTGGGAGCTGCACAGGAGTGGGAGGTTTTTGTGCCCTGGAGACTGAGATCCTGGTGTGGGTACAGTTTTGTGCTGGCACCTGTCTAACACTGTTGGTGAGCTACACATGATGGTCTCCTGGAAGTAACTTAGAGGATCTATACTCTAAGGCCATATGATTATGCAGACTGTTGCTTTGTCAGAAAAATAAATTATTATGTTAAAGATACATAGGAAAAATACAGAGACCTCTGTGGGGAATCTGAAGATGCATGAAACTGGGTGTGGACTCTCAGACAACTGCCCATCACAGGAAAGCACCCAGGGCACACCCTGGACTGGTGCCAGGGACCCTGGGGATCCGGAAGCGGCCCAGGAGGGAGCAGGTGTGTGTGGCCTGGAGGGGGGCCCGAGGGGTGAGCCCACTGTGGAGGGCCGGGCGATGGGGGTCCTCATGCACAAGGCCCCTGAGGCCCCAGAAGGAGGCACAGGGGTCAGGGCGCCAGGCCCCTGCCGGATCCTGGGGCAGCAGGGGCACCTGTGTGACAACAGAGAATGCTGGGGGCACGTCATGGTTGGTCCCCAGAAAGATCACAGGGGAGACCCGGAAGCCTTTCTGGTCACCTGGGTTGGTAAGCTTCTCCTCCAGCTCGGCCTGGGTGGTCACGCTTTCGGATTTCGGGGAGTGGATAATCAGCACGACAGAACCTGCACAGCTGAGCAGACACCCCAACTTGCCCAAGATGTTGAGCTTTTCCTTCAGAAGGTAAGAAGCTAAAATGGACCTTCAATTAAAAAAACAGAAATCACTGAGCAACAGTGGTTCAATTTCCGGACTGAGCTGAGCTGCCAACAGGTGGCAGGATGGCTCAGCTAAAAAAAAAAAGAGAGAGAGAAATCAAAGTGAAATCATACTATCTGACCTGTTTCTACTCATTGCAATTACTTTAGAAAAGCCATATTTTCTTTGTAGCCATATTTTGCTCTTAATTTAGTTTTTAAGACTAGAAAAGATTAGGAATTTATTGAAGTTGTTATTTGAACACAAATAGGACTTCCTACCAAATGCATGCACAGCTGGTATAGTTAGTGACTCTTGAATTACACTGCTGTTACTTAGTTGGTGTGAAATATACTGGAGTAAAAAAATAGGTTTTACAATTGACAAAACATCACTTCCTTATTTTTAAAAGAAAATCATAAAAAATAACAACAAAACACCCCTATGTTACGTTGGAAAGTAGCAAGTGAAAATTAATTACAATTCATGATCAAAACACTTAAGTTAAAATAAATGGGGAGAGCACACACACACAAAATCAAAAGACTAATAGTAACTGCATTATGGTAGGAATATGGGTGATGGATTATGTGTCTCTTCTCTAATACCCAAAACTTTTAAAATGTGATCACATTACTTTTTTAATGCAAAACAAGTAAAACACCTATAATCTTAACTCTGGTAACATGTTTCTTCCC